GGGGGGGGGGGGGGGGGGGGGTTAAAGTTTGCTCGTGCTGTTAGAGGATTATGGAGCTGGTTCACTCAGACTAATTATTAGGAAACTGATGGCGTGTTGAGTGGGAGGAATTTAGTGGAAGCAGGGTGCTGGAGGAGTGGACGTGGGGTGATGCAGGACGTAATGTTTTAAAGGCTCCAGTGAGTGGTGTGGATGTAGAGGATGTTATGCRTCAGAGTGGTTAGAGCCATTACTCTGAAAACTGTAGTTACATCTGTTCGTCTGCTGRCTGGAGCTCGTTGTTGTTGTTGACAGTGTGTAACAGTGACCACACAGACACTTAAACGCAGCCCGGCGTCCTGTGGCAGATCCCCACCAGCGCCCACAACAATCTGGCTGTTTGGCTAACGCTCGCCCACAAAAACCCAGCTCTCAGCAGCTGCTTAGGGACGAGCAGKGGAGCCTGACCGAGTCTCTCACACACAATGAGCAGCACATTGACTGACTAGGCTGGAAAAAGCTGACTCTTTAGGTATTCTGGGGATTCTGCTGCTGTTACTTAGCTGTGTTTTTTTTTTAAGGGCCGTTAACGTTGCAGGGATCTGTTGGAAGAAAATATTCTGTTTTTCTGTCTATAAAGGGCTTTGAGGAGTTGAAGATGTGTACTTTTGTTTACTTAGTCAATCAAGTTGTCTGTTTTATTAGTTGAAGTGGGAACATGTTTTTATTTAAAACTTTGCGTCAAACAAAAAGGTCTTTATGTTTGATTTAATGACCAAAGCTTTGGTTGATTTTGTTGTTATAGAATTTAATCCCTGGTCAAGGGTCTGTGACCAACGGGCAAAGACGTGCAGTAATATTTTTGCCCATTTTTGTTAGTTTTTTTTTTTATAAAAAGATCCAATGTACCAGTAGATAAGTTMGAGTAAAACATGCAGAAAGTTAAAAAAAATTAGTAATTTTACGATATTGAGATAAAATTTGGTGTGGTCGCTAGGGTTGGGCATAATCGTATCGTGTGCAATTAATCGTCAGAAAAACATTAATCGATTACTTTTTGGCACTTGACGATTAATACAATTAATGCCACCAGGCAGTGTCCGCTCGCTCGCTGCTCCTCTCTGCTTCAAATATGACAAACATTAAAATAAAGTTCTGTAATTTATTTATCTATCAACACAATTTAAAATTAGATGTATAGCCTGAAGTCTGTAATTTTGACACAGTTTGGAACATATTTTTATGATGAGCATATCTTTCCCACTAAAGTAGTCATGTGACCAGAACATAAAGATGTCCAGGGACTCCAGAGGATTAATCGTCAAACTAATCGTTATCGGCTAAATACCACAATTAATCGTGATAAATTTTTTTGCCAATATTGCCCAACCCTAGTGGTCGCTCATAGTCATTCATGAGACGTTCTCTGAGTGTGACCTGTGATTATGGGCACTGGTGGGTACAGTTAACCAAAACGTTAGCTTCACTAACCACTAATCCGCTAAAAAAGGATCTTAGCTATCTTAATGCTAAACAAATGAACGGTTAGTGGAAGCTAACGCTAACAGATAAGATGACATGTCTGGTGTGACACAGGCAGGTATGACTGACACAAACCTGTTATTGTTTTTTTCTATTGGTTTAATTTGAAGGTGGGTGGGATCATTTGTGGCAAATTAACCAATCCAAACCAGAGCTATAGCTCTGTCTAACTTGTGATATTTCCACTTTACCCCTTTCAGAATAAAAGCATTAATTTGATCAACTTTGTATATTTATAAACACTGCTTAAAGTTAGTCAAACAACAAATAGCAAATGCGTTCTCTACCATATTTTATACATAGTCCATTTTTGTATATGTTATGTTATTTAAATGCTTTTGACACTCATTTGGATTTTAGCTGCTAACGAGGCTACATGCTACACACACGTTGCCTGGCTTGTCCAGCACTGCTTTTAAGAAGAGAGAGTTTTTATTTAATTCAGAAAAAATGTCATYAAAATAAGTTTTACCCTTGTGAATTTTTATTGAACTTAAAATTGGCAAAACCAAATTTAGCAGAGACAGATCGTTCTGCTAACGGTTTTCAAAGTTAGCAAAACAACAACAACAACAAAAAAAGGCTAATGTGCTAACTGAGAAGCTAGATCCACCACTGATGATTTGTATTGGACGCGTTATCTTCAAGGTTTGACCAAATATGAAAACCAAATTGTCCTTTTCAAATACAATCCTTTTGAATGAAACTGTCATTTTAAGGCAGAAATCTGTCTATATGGCCAAAAAAATTGATTTTTTTTATTTTATTTTTTATTTTTATTTTTTTGCTGTTCATTGAACTACTTTTTGGAACCAATGTAGTTTTATTTTTCAGATCAAAGAAACTTTAAAAACGATCAGAAGTTACTCCTGCGTCTGGCTCCTCCTCTGCTTCATCTGCTTTGTGCAGTTCGATGCATCTTTTATCCAAAATAGACGAGATGGATATTTATAGCGGCTGAGCTGCTCCTGTGATGCTTCACAGGCTTTGTTTGAAGAGGACACGATTAGGTTCAGCTGCTGTGTTGGAGTGTGAGCGCAGCTCAGCCACTTCTTGTTCTGCTGAGGACTTCACCACAAACAGCAGCACCTTTTTTCTCCGTCATGTGATCCTAGAAGCTTCATATATCTGTCAGAGTGAAAACATTATGTCGGTCTCTTATTGCCAGTATTAACAGATCATGTTAACGCAGTGACTCCACGGTGGTCAGATAAACTAAACACTGATGGATGGGAGCAGTTGTTGCTTTTCAACGTCTTKAAGTTTAATGAAATGAGTTGATGAGTTATTTGACTATAGGATTCTGTTACTTATGTTTAAGGCTCATACGAATATACTGCCCTTTAAAATACAATTACTTTTTTTGTAAAAGGGAAAGCATACACAGTATAATTTGAAAGGAATTGAAATGTTTCTCAAACCTAAAATTAGAACAAATTTTAAGGAGAAATGCACTTCCTTACAGGGAATTAAATTGTGGAACAATTTGGAAAACGTCTTTAAAAATGCCAATATGATTTATATATTTGCTAAATTGATAAACTATTTGTTTTCAAAATATGAAAAACATGTAGATTGAGTACTAATTCGAGTATTTTTTGTATTATTTTCATCACTGTTGTTAAAAAGTGAATGATGTTATTAATGAATATCCGCAGGCTGTTTGTGCCTTGAGAAATCTTCTCTTAAGTAGGGGCAGATGTTATAAGATGTTTTTCTTCTGCTCCTTTTCATTTGACATTGGTTTTATTTTTATTGTTTTTTCTTTTTCTTTTTTTCTTTTTCTCTGTATATTTTTTTATGTGTTCCTGTAATTCAAAAGAAAAAAAAAAAACTTAGACCTGCACTCAACTACTGGTGATATTTGATTTTGTACAGTGTAGTCTGTCATTATTGTGCCGCTTCTGTCCTAAGTTGCACTCAGTGATTACTGTTTTTTTGTCTTTATTTATTAAAGCTTTCAATTTTAAACATGTCTGCTGCTGTGACAAACAAATGTCCTTCAGGGGATCAATAAAATGTGTTTTTGTAAGAGTTTTAGCCAAAGAATTCAGATTTCAACAGTGTTGGAGAGTGGAAACTTTTATTTTTTATTTTTAAATCCTTAAAGTAATTCATATCCCCCTCCTCCTTTCATACCAGTTTTAAACTAAGATCTCATGTTGAGAAAATACAAAGTTGTGTTCGTTTAAAAATAATGTGTATCATCTCATGTAAGATCTCTTCTATAAGTCACGGTCAAATAAATCATATAAAAACCAAAATAACTGGTGAAATGAGATTAAACCATTTTAGTGTACAGAGGAGACAGCATGGAGACACAGGCGGCTCTCTGTAGATGTATATTTGATGATTAAATTTCATTATTTTTTAAATTAAAATCCAGCTTGAAGTTCATGTGATATTATACTAACAGGCAAAATGAAAAAACTTTATTTTGACTGAATTCTTCATCGTTGCAGATAATATAACAAAGCAGATTTGCAGGTTATTGTTTTGAGTTTGAGACTTCTCAGCTGGTGAATTGATTACATAAAATTAAGATTCATTCTTTAAGAACCAACAAAATGAGCCGTGTTGCTGCAGCAGACCCATCCTCCTGAAGGTTTCAGGACGTGGCCTGGTTCTGGTCTGACTGCTGCCGTGTTCTTACTGCACAGAGTAATAGATTTGATTTAGTGCYTCTGCAGTCTAAACAAGTTAATTCCTCTGCACTTCTGCTGTTTTACGACCAGTCTGAAGCTGAGCTGTAATTTTTCAGCTGTTCCTCCTCCACTCGGCAGCACTGATACCACACGCTGTTGTGGAAACAGAACAGTTTATTCCTCCTAAACCTCACTCTGTTTTCTTTTATTTCTGTGTTTCAGGGTGGTGAAGGAGGAGATTTCAGACGACGGTGCCAAGTTGCCTTGTTTTAACGGCAGAGTGGTGTCATGGGTAAGATGTGACAGATGTCTCCTCTGTTCTGTTTGCTATGAATAAGTCCCAGTTTTCTTTGAATATAAACACTAGTACTCAGTAAAGTTGACATAGTGTTTTGTAACTGACTGAGTTGTATCTGGAATTCCACTTTAATCTGCAAACTCTTGATAAAGCCTAACAAATTCACTCCATTACATTAGTTTTTAATGGAAAACGCGGAGCCGAAAAGCTCGCAAATCACCAAACAGATCGTCAAAACAGCCGCGCCGCTCTTCAAACTTCTATCTGAGCTTGTTAGCAGCTACAGCACAGCAAGAAGCCAGATACAGTTTTCATACTTTCCACTTCCCCACAGCTGTTGGACTCCACCCTTCAGGTTTAAACAGAGACAAAAACTCTGGAGATTGGCCTGAATAAGCAATAAGTTTGAGGCATCTGTTAACTTCATCAGTGTGTGTGTGTGTGTGTGTGGTGGTGGTGGGGGGGGGGGGCATTTTAAAACGAGAGGGAACAAAACTCAGAGACCAGAGGAACTGAGATGTGGTACAAAAGCCAGGATGGATCCCAGAAGACGAGGGATTCAGAGGGATTAGAGCAGGAGAGCTCGAGAAAACATCTGTCTGGGAAGTCGTTCTCAGCATCCATTCTAAATTTGCGAYCTCGATCTGCAGGATGTGATATAAAAATGTATGGATGTGATCAAGTGCTCTCCTGTGAAATGATTTGGAAACATCTGGATTCAAACTTTTACCTTTTTGTTTTGATGCTCTTATATATTTTTTCTGTCTCTTTCCCTTCCAGATTGTTTTTGTTCTTGTCATTTGATGCTGTATGATATTCATCCTAGTTGTGTGTGTGTGTGTGTGTGTGTGTGTGTGTGTGTGTGTGTGTGT